AGTAATGGAAAGTTTTAATTAAAAATAATTTTCCAGCATTTCGACCGCCATCTTTAATTACTCATTTACTCGCGTTGTAAAAAATTTCATTTCGAACCTAACCGTCAACTTTTAACCTTTTAATCATTCTAACCCGATTAATAATATTTTATTTTAAAATAAGTAAAAAAAATTTACGGTTTAATAGTATAAACAACAATAAAAAAAAATTGTGGTTACTTTTGCGGTTTATTTATTTTTAATATGGATAAAAAAAAAAAAAACAAATTTGAGGTTTGAAAAACGTGGAATCGAATTATTTAATTATGACGTGGCAGAAGAAGAAAAAAAAAGGGGGGCAAAAACCAAATTACTATAATGAATTATGTTGATTGATTTTTACACACACACACACGCGAAATAATAATAAATATTGCATTGAAAATTTTAAAATGATAAGAATGTAAGTAATAGTAAATAAGAAGGTTTAATAACTTTTGATAATGTCAGTTAAAAAATGATGAATGTAAAAAAAACATTATTGGGGGGGAGGCGAAGTGGGGGGGGGACGTTAAATAACTGCCACGTACTATTTAATCAAGCGTTTGTGTATTTTCTTTTTCCCACCTTAAATTAATTGAAAGGGAATTAAAAAATGGGCTTTTTAGTTACAAGTTTACTCGTTAGAGGTCGGGCTTAATTCAAGTTCGTTTTCGGTATGAAATTTTACAATGGAGAGAAAAAAAAAATGGAGAAAAGTTTTGCGATTCGTATTCAATTAAAATGTCATCGTTTAACTTGACACACAACAAGAAAAATTTTTAAAATATTAAAAGAAAGGCGTTTCACTGCGCAGATGAGAAATGCAAATAAATTTTTTTTGTGTTAACCACCTAAACTAAATATTAAATAAGAAATGTGGCCCGTCATTTACCAACCTAAATTATACTAGATTCTCCAACTATTCATTATTTATCACTTTAATGAGTCACATATACACACTCTACCTGGTGTTAGTTAAAAAAAAAGAATGTTCTAGAATGAGTTTAAATTAAATGTGGTTGTTGTTAGTAGTAATAATAAGATTTCAGTAAATCGGTTACATAAACGCTGAATAATCTAACATTAAATAAATAAAATTTTTTCTATTCGTTAATTGTATTTGTTTTAAGAAAATGATTCAGTACCTGAATTGAAACCTATTTTACGATTGTTTATAAACTTAAAGTAACAAATTTTAATTAAAATTTTTTTTATAAAAAAAAAAAAAAACTCATTACTTACCATGTCACAAAGTCACAATCGTTAAAATAATTCTTTTTTTTCTTTTCTTTCTTATATTCCATCATTTTCTAAAATTATCTTCAATTCGTATATAATTTTCACACTCTGAAACGTTAAAAATAATAAAAATTAGTAATTTATTTACTAATAAATTAACAAACCATGAATAATAATAATAATTAATAAGAAAAACATTTTCATGTTATTCTAAAGACATATTATTAATTACAGTAATTTTTATAAATTAAATAATTTGTATTATTTATATATTTATTTGTATTATTATAGTTTTTATACTACGATTAAGTATTAAAAATAAAATTTAATGGAAAATAAGGTAAATAAAAAAAGATTTTTTATAAATTTGCGCGGGAAATATTTTATTCTTTAATTTTTTTTTTCTTAACATGGCGTCATTAATTTCTGAGAAATAGTTAATGCGATGTTGTAAAAATTATCGAGCAGCAAAAATTAAATAATAAAACTTACGTAAAATTTACTAAAGTACCTGTTTTTTTTTTTTTTTTTTGCAATTTTAAAGGTTTTCGTACCTAAAAAACTAATTTTTATTTGTTTTGTCTCATGTTTTAATTCTCTAACGTTCGATTTTTTTCATTTCATTTAACTGTTCGCGTCGTTTTCGTTCCGGAACGTTTTTCAAATATGATTCCGTTGTTCTCATTGGTCGTTGGCCGTTAAAAGTAACGAAAATAAATAACAATATAATTACTGTATAAATTCAAAAATTCGTTAATAGGAATTCGATTAAGTAAAAAAAAAAAAAACTTTTATTTTAATGCTTATATAAATACGATTTAATTTATAAGGTTATAAAATTTGTTTTAACTGAAACGAAAAATATCTTTCTAAGGAAATATATATATATATTTAATTGTTAATCCCACCTTAGGAAACTTCCTGTGACGATTTTAAATTTTGGTCAATATTTATTTTTTTTTGTGAAAAACAAGTTTTTTATTTAAAATTTTTTTATTGCTTATAATTCAATTAAATATCGGCGTTTAAAAGAAATTTTACTTAAATAAAAGAGTTAACCAAGAAGGAGAAAAAAAGAAGAGAGAGAGAGAGAGAGAGAGCAGACGCGAACCGCGAAATAATTCGGGTTTTGTATGGTATCGAAGGTTGCCGAAACTACCCGAAGACGTTCGAGCCGGTTGTCGTAGCTACGTTATGCGCGATTTCATTTTCCCTTTTATTCGCACAATTCGTTGGCTTCGGTAGTGGTCGTTACGTACGGTCTAGTAGATTTTAAAGATTTTTTTTTTTACTTAATTTATTCAGTAATTATTCTCAGTAATAATGGCAGAAGTTGCAGAAGTTGTCAAGTAAGTGTTTTTTAAAGTTAGTTTGGTGTATTTCGATTGGATTTATTCAAGAAAATCACTTCCCCCATTTTGGCGGCTAAAACCATTCTTTTGGCGTTTACAAGTATAATTAAATTTCCATCGACTCTATTTCTGGCGTGACGCAACGAACTTTCACAAGCGTTTACATGTGAAAAAGAATTTTCAGTTGCAATTTTTCTTTTTATCGAATTGTTAATATTTTTTTAAGTTTACAAGGAAAAAAAAAAAAAAAAAGAAAAAAGAAATTAGAACATGGCTGTCACATGGCGAAGTTTGCGTGTTAAATTGAGTTTTCTCTTATAATGCTTCGGCTTCGTGTACCTTTTAAACATAATTGTAACGATTTAACGAATTGTCTAGCATTAAGAAATCACTCGAAACCGAATGACATATCTCCAAGCAATGAATTTTTACTTATAAATTAGTGGTTTTTATGACGCTATAAAGGGAATAAACAGATAAAAAACCGAGTGCCGGATAAACTGACCCTCTTCATAATCGAAACATGTAACGGATTTTGCATTGCGATGATGCCAGATCCGAGTAATACTCGCGAAGGAATTTTGCGCCAAGAAACATTGGCTCTGTTTCGAAACTTATTGATTTCCAAGGTCATTAGTTTGTATTTCCACTTTGATCAGCGTTCAATTTAACTCCGCTAAA